TGCAGAAATATTTAGTCATCACTGTAATGCAGTTTCTTGCTAATTCATTCATCGGTCTATGCACAGTTTGCTATTTTTGATAGTACTGTTTGGTTTGAACAGCGCCAAATCAAGCAAAACATTTTCCTTTTTTAAATTACTTTTTATTTCAAATCACTTATTGACATTTTGGAAAAGATTTGAAGGCGTTACTTTAAAGGTCAAATATACACATCGTAGGGTCAAAATACCTTGCATTACCTCACAAGAAAACGTAACTCAACACTGCTGTTCTGCTAGTGTCCAACTGCTCAGAAATAAGAGATAACAAGGTGCAGGGCTGGATGAACACAGCAGGCCAAGCAGCATCAGAGGAGCAGGAAGGCTGACGTTTCGGGCCTAGACCCTTCTGGGTCTGAGATCCTCTGAGTTTAGAAACAAAGGTCCAGAGATAAAATGCCCTTAAAGAAAGGACAAGTGGCAAGTTTGAAGAGTTAGATCAGAGAGTCACATCTGATATATACCAAGGGAAGTCAGCAAGAACCTTAAAAACATTCAGGCTGCAAATTGGGATTTCTCTCACTTCATTTCCTTTCTTTGGCTGGATATTTGTCTGAGCAAGTCTGATGCTCTGATCATCCAGCCAGCACACAGCTGTCAATTCAAATAGGTGTCAACACTCAGGTCCCCTCAAGTCCCAGCTGCTATTGGTTCAAAGATCTCTGTGCTGAGCAGGCGGAATGTTGCCAGAGGCAAGAATACAGATCATGAGCATTCAGGCAGAAAATACTCTTTGCACATGCATACTTTCAAATGGTCTGTGGAAAAGAAACAAATATTGGCCCCAATACCTGTGCACAAGTTACAGAAATGCCTCAAAGCCAACAAATGCCTTTAGTATGGACTGCACAGCTAAGCACCAGACAAATGTCACCCATTATTTAGATGCAGTGAGTGAGTAGTTATCCATTAAACAGTAATGGAAATCACTGTTCTACTGAATCTAGACAACTGCCTGTAAACCAGGGTCTAGAGATAGGCATGTGATACAGGAGGAGTAGTAATGGTGTTTCTCAGCCTTGGGAAAGAGCAGAGATATTGTCATCAGAAATAACTTGCTGTCACCTCCTCAGAGTAAATAATCTACTGAAGTAGCAAATTCCACCCTCCCCCACCAAAAGAACAAATAGATTTATGAAGATGACACTGATCGTGTAAATTACAAAAGAAAATCCAAATCTGAAATAAGACAACACCTCGTAATGTAGCACCAGGTTCAAGAGACAATATAGAAATAAACATTTGCAATATTTGAAGAACTTTAATATATTTGTGCAACATCTTACTGTCCCGTATCAAGATGCATTTTAAGAGTAGAATAACAGCTCTGCTTAAATGTTAGACCAAAGAATATCACATGAAAATGTTTGCTTATTACAGTCACCCATAGCCCCTGAATTGCAGAATTATCCCAGCATAGGAGATGGCCATTTGGTCCATCATGTTTACACCAGTTATCAACATAATTCATTTTTCAATACTTCAATGGAAACTGTCTCCACTACACTCCAGATCATAACCTGTCTTTTTCCTTTTTTCTCAACTTATACAATGTATATCTGTAATGCAATGTAACATTTTTTTTCTTCATTTTTATCTATTTTTGTACCTATGGTTAGTACCTAGGTACTTTGTACCTAAGAAGACACCATGTGTTGGCAACATTATACACTTTTCACTGTACTCCTGTTCTTTTGTAACTTTAGTACACATGACAATAAACCTAATTCTAATTCTAACCACTCACTAGGTTAAAAAGTTTTACCTTATGTTATTTTTGCTTCTTTTGTCAATTACTTTAAAATCTGTCTTCTCATTTTCAAATCTCCTCATAAGTAAGAACAATATCTCACTATCTACTCTGTGCAGACCCCTCATGATCTTGAATACTTCTTTCAGTTGCAGGAGTCCATTCAGCCCAGTGAGCCTGACCTACCATTTAATACATTCATGGCTGATTGAGCACTTCAAAGCCTTTCACCCACACTAGCCTCATAAACCCTTATATCATTGGTAATCAGAAGCTGTACTTTAAAGATTCTCAAAGACGGAGCCTCCACATCCCCTTGGGGTAGATAATTCCAAAAATTCATGACCTCGGTAAAAAAAGAATTCTCCTCATCTCGGTCCTAAATGGCATCTTTCTCATTTTTAAATTGCGCTCCATGGTTCCACACTTCCCAAATCAGAGGAAATATCTTATCTGTGTCTACCCTGTCTATCCCTTTAAGTATATTGTAGGTCTCAAATGAGATCACCTCTCATTCTAGAGAATACAGGCCTAGTTTACCCAATCTTTCCTCATAGGACAGTCCTGCCATCAAAGCAAGTTTTCACTACACCTTTTTTTATTCCATTCCTGTTAGTAGGAATTCCATTAGCCTTCCTAATTGCATTCTGCAGGTGCAGGTTAGCCTTCAGTGACTTATTGACAAGGGTACCTATACTTTCTAACCTCTCTACTTTGGAAGGAGAAACAGATGTGCAAAGTGGATAACCTCACAATTTCTTAGGTTATATTCCATCTGTCACATTCTAGGCCACTCACTAAGCCTGTCCAAATCCTCGTGACACTACTTTACATTTTCCTTCAAACATACATTCCCGCTTAGTTTTGTATTATCCACAAATTCAGAATGGTCCCCACATCCAAATCATTAATAAATCTCAAACAGTTCGGGTCCAGGTACTAATACTTCAATAACCTGTCAGTCACAACCTGCCAATATGAGAGTGACCCATTTATTGCAACCTGCCTGTCAGCCAGAGTAGCAATCATTAATCCACGACAGTACATTACCACCAATTCCAGCTGCTTTAATTATTCAAACCAACCTCCTGCGGAGGTCTTATCCAAAGCCTTCGGAAAATCCAAGTGTGCCAAGTCTTTCGACTCCCTTTTATCAGTTTTGTTCGTAATAACCCCAAAACCTCCAACAAGGTCATCAAACACCATTTCCCATTCGCAAATCCATGCTGACTGTGCACAATCAGATCACTATTATTCAAAAGTCCATTTATCAAATTCTTTATTATAGATTCTAGCATTTTTCATTGTCCTGATGTAGGCCTAACAGGTCTGTAGTTTCCAGTTTTATATCTTGCTTCTTTCTTAAACTGAGCAACTAGACAGCCACAACCGGCACGACAGGATATTGGATGGTCACACTGACAGCCTGCCTGCTGAGATTAACTGAAGAAAACACATTCAGTTCCTGTCTCACTGTATCCAATCCTCTTCATGGTAACACATCAGAAGTAGGACAAAAATAACATAACATAACAAGTATTAGAAGACCAGTAACAACTTGATACCAGAAGGAAAATCCTGGTGTAACCCCTTATTCTGGGATTCTGCCCTATGGTCCTAGACTCTCACAAAAAGACGCAACAAATTTTCCACATCTAATCTGTCAAGTCCCCTAAGGATCTTGTATGTTTCAATATGGTCACCTCCCATTTAAAGAGTGACCAATGAAATATGGTTGAGTGGATAAAGAAATTAAAGAATTATAGCAATAAATAAAAAAGAGATAGATAAGTAAAAAGTAAATAAATAGCAGGAGACATTTAAAGAAATAATTCAAATTGTTAAAAAAAAGGGAAGCTTCTATTGAGAAACAAAAGCACAGAAAGAACAATCCAATCACAGCTTACTCAGGAACTTAAGGATGGCATTTGATTCAAAGAGAAGGGTTACGATGTTGCCAAGCACAGCAGTTAGTCTGAAGTGGGAGTATTTTAGGAACTAGCCAAGAGGCAAC